ATCCCAGCATTTAGGAGGCTGAGGCAGGAGAACCAACCAAAAATTCAAGTCCAGCCTGGGCTACATAGGGAATTCAAGGCCAGCTAGAACTGCATAGCAAGACCCTGTCTCCAAAAGGAAAGGAGGGGTGTTAAACTAAGCCATATATGCATGCCTATAATCCCAGCAGTCAGAAAGCTGCGACAAGACAATCATCATAAATTCCAGGCTGGCCTATGCTACACAGGGAGACACTATTTCAAAGAAAAACCCTGAAAATAAATACATAAATAGAAAACTATCATCACCTACCATGTTTCCAGGATAAACAGTAACTGTTTTGGAGGGAAACTCCACAACTATTTTTAAGACTTCATTCAATTTCAATCCCCATAAATACAGTATTAGATTGAGATTTTGTTGGTATAGTACTCAACATTTTTATGTAAATGAAATTTGTCCTCAAATAAAAATATAAATGAGAGGCACAGCACCTACTTGGCAAGCACAAGGTTCTGAGTTTGACTGTCAGTACCAAAAAGGAAATATAAATGATAATAATTTATAGAAACACAGGCTTTGGAGTAAGAAGGACTTGGGTTTTGAACCTTACCTTATTTACTCTTGAACCTAAGCAAATATAACCCCAAGTTTGCCATCTCAAATAGGAGTAATAATCATATCACACAGACTTACAACGAGGCTTACATAAAATAATGTGCATACCTGCCACACAAAAGATAATCTGTGAGCTGGTAATTGTCATTATCATTAGGATTAATATTCCTGGTAGACAAAAGAGGAAGTGGAAAGAACAGTGAAGAAGGAGGCTGGGGTTCAGAAAACTGCAAGTCCTGACTATTCCTAGAATGCTCCTCATGGCTTTTACACTGAACAGGTAGGGAAGTGATGGCCACAGAGAACTAACAGTACTTTCTGCTTCTAATCACACAAATATGCCCAGCCCAGCCCAGGAGGGAACTCTGGGCCTTCTCCTCACTCAGCTCTTTCCATGCTCTCCCCTAGCACCAAAGTAGAGGAGTGTCAGGGCCACCTGCCGGCAGGGAAGGATTTCTTTCTTCCACAGAGGAGCTAAATTAGAGTCTCTCAGACTGTTCAGCAAGAAGCAACACACATGGGTGCCAGCAGCAAGCAAAGTGTGCATCCCTACAAGGTGGGCCAAGGTGCTCCTGACCCTCAGGTTAGGGAAAAAGTCAGGCTGCAGGGGTGATTTGAAAATGAAGGCCAGAGACAGCAACTCCCGGAAAACTGCAACTGCCGGCCACTTTTCTCACTGTTTTCTCTTCTCACCACACCTCTCCTCCTGGCTAAACTCCAGCCTGGTCCATTTTGTGACTTCATGATGGCTCTGTCACAGATACTGAAACTGAGTGCTAACACTACGTACTCTTCCCAGATCATCTCCTGTATCCCTAACAATAATCCTGCGCAGGCAGTACTGATATTATGAGCATCAAGTCACAGAGAGAAGCTGTTTGCCCCAGGCCTCAGTGCTGCTATGCTGGGGAAAGGACAAAACCCAGGCTGCTGGGTTCCCTAGCCTACTACTGCCCAACCCTGCCACCAAAGGAGGCCTGTTACGTAGTTTTGGACATACCCTCCCAGCACAGGTCCTGAGAGTTAAGTTCTAGAACTGTATTTGCACTGTTTCTGGGTAGCTTCTCACGGCACTGGTGAAGAAATTTTGACACATCTTTGGAGAAACTCTCCAAGCTTTCAGTGTTTTTTTTTTTTTGTTTTGTTTTGTTTTTTTCCCCCAACTTACCTGCCATCAAGTCTGGCAGGTTATGCAGTCCCTCCAGACCCCTGCAGTGGGCAGCATAGCAGGGCTCAGCTGCCTCCTTTCTCTGACCTGTCCAGAGCAAAAGGTTTGCCAAAGGACAGAACAAGGCACATTACACAAGCCAGGACCTTTCTGGTTCCCTAGGCAAGCCAGCTGGATTCGCTGCCACAGATGACAAGAGACAGGGGAGAGTACTCCGTGTCCAGAGCCTGTAAGTAACATTTTTATTTACGGATGCACTGGAAGCTACTTCAGAGCCCAAATGTAAACACTGCTTATGCAACTTTACATTCCTGAGATGAGGACCAGTTCCGGAAGTGTGGGTCTAGCTTCTGGTGATCTGTCTTAAAATTTGCAAAAGGCTCAAGGCCTTTAGACAAAAATCTGTCCCACCCTCAAGGAATTCAATTCAGCAAGTGCAGTCCCAGTGATAACTGAGGCAAGTAGTCTTGACAACAGTTTAAGAAGTCTTACTTATAATATAATGTCGAACTTTGTGATGGTTATTCCACTCCTCCTTGTATTTCTTTTGCTCTTCCATTGACCTGACACCTTCAGGTGGGCAGCCTCAGGTCAGGGCCTATGTTGGGACGCTTGTATGTCTGCAGAGATCGTTTACCTAGGATGACCACTCAAATGTCTACTAAGCCACAGCTGAGCGCTCCATGTTGTTTTACATTCCTACATTCCTGAATCTCCCTGAGGAGGATGTGATCCTCTCTCTAGGATTCGGGGTAGTTCTGGACCCAAGTTAGCCATAGAAAAGCCAACAACAGTTTCCATCAGATCTGGTAATTAACAGAACCAGGCAGCCAGCCCAAACCATCAGCACATTTCTCAACTGCTCTGCTTCAGTGTCACTGGCCCAGTTCCACTCCATTTGCTGTGGCTGGAGTGGGCCAAGAAAACAAAGAAATCCATCAAAATGAAGCAGCCTTGGGCAGGCAGCCAAATCTCAGTGGGTGGTGCTGAGGTTTGTTTCACTACTCTACTGCTGAGGCCCGTATTACCATAGCAAGCTACTTTTACCTGCTGTGGAATTCCACAGGAGAGGAAACATTTAAAAGAACATGTTCTAAATGAGCCCTTTTCCAGTAGCACAGCCAACAGCTCAGCTAACATCTCACTAAAGTGACCCCGAGATCAAAACTGTCAAAGTCAAGCTGGAAGTTAAATGAAACTCTGCAATGAACACATACTAACTTCATTAAATGTTGTGTAGAACATCCTGTTGTTGGTCAAAAAAATTAGCATACAAAAAAAGCACGTAATACCCTTGTTATTTTCAGGGTAGACAGAAACACAAATCTCTGTCAGCATGCACTTGGCGACCAATGAATCCCCTCCGGAGAGGACTCAACAGACTGATAAAACTGGTTTTTTCAGAGGAGGCAGCTAAGGAGACAAATTTGAATGGAGGATGTTCCACTATGTTTTGGGGGCATCATTTGGTTTTTAAAGACATCAATGCTTGCCAGGCATGGTAGCACACACCCAGAATTCTAGGAGGCAGAGGCAGGAGGATAGCAAGTTTGAGCCCAGTCTAGACAACTTAGTGAGACCCTGTCTCAAAAATTTTTAAAAAATAAAAAGGACTGCCTCGATATGAAGGCCCTGGATTCATTCTCCAAAAATCAAATAAACATGAACAAAAATCTTGAATTCTGAGGAGTACAGCTCAGTGACAGGGTGCTGGGTTCAACCCATAGTACACACACCTATATGAGCACACACGCATGCACATACACACATACACACACACACTCAATGCATGTGTCATGTAATCAAATACAATTAAAGTTTTAAAAATTAGTTTGAAGGCTTGGGGTGTGGCTCAATGAAAGGCTCAAACCCCAGTTCCCCTGCCAAATTAGTTTTCAGACATTCATTAACATTGCTTAGCATATGCCAGGCACTAGAGTAAGATGCCAGTCTCAGGAATTGGCTGGGGAGGCATAAAAACAGATAATTAGGTAAACCATTCCAATACAATAATCAACGTCAACAGTAAGGGTCCAGGGAGATGCTAGTGGTCTTGCTTGGATGGAAAGTGGAGAACCACGTACTTCCTCCAAGAAGTACTTTGTGGGCCAAATACCTAAGACTATTTCCTGCAGAACTCCTAGCAACCTGAACTCTGATGAGAGTCAAACCGCAGGAAAAAGAAAACAACAAAACCCCAAGTAGGGGCTGGGGATTTAGCTCAGCGGCATAAGCACCTGCCTTGCAAACAGGCAGTCGTGAGTTCGATCCCTGGTACCGATAAAAACGAAAAAGACAAAAAAAAAAAAAAAAAAACCCAAGTAAACAGATGCACTGAAAGGGAAAGAACACCATTCCTCTTAACTGTTCTATCCCTCTCCCTAGGATGTGGCAAAAGGGCTCAATAACGGAAGAAAGCTTGAAAATGTCAAAGCTATTCTCTGCCTCCATTCCTCCCCACGCTCCTCTACATTCACCCAAACACACCACGAATCCCCCACGGACGCTGATAAAGGGTACTAAGAGAGCTGACATTTATAAAGTGCTGGGAAGAGCACGTGGCAAACTGCTTTATAAATGTTAAAGTCAAATAAAGCCCAGTGGAGACGAAAAGCTTTGCAAACATCTCCCTAGGGAATGCTCAGCGTCCCTGACAGCAAGGCCTGATGGAACTTGGATTTTCATCCTGATATAACGTTACTATGATATAAAGACACTAGACATATCAAAAGCGGAGGTAAGACCCGCACCATGAAGGGCAGCGCCTACTTCGCCCCAGATCCAGGTAGTAAGAACCCATTTAGCCCTCCGTGCCTCGATTTCCCCAACACCAAAACTACAGTAAGAAGCTCTCGCCTCCTTCAATCCCTCCACCCCAGAGATCGAAGTGATTGGCCGTGGAAAACGCAGAACGCCCTCAGTATGCTCAGTATTGGGAGCAAAACACCTGGACTTGGCGAGCAGGTGGCCTCCGTGCGCTCGCTGCGCAGACAGGTGCCCGCGGATGCGCGGTGTCCCCTTTCCACGCCGCCCACCGCGGGCATGCGGCCCCAGTGCCTCCGGGATCAGAGCCTCCTGGCGGCCTCTCCAGGTGTGCGGTGCCCTGCCCGTCCTGCCACCCTGCGTGAGGTGCCGGGTGTCCCGTGCCCACTGCGCGGCGGGGTCGCGCAACACTCGGCCGCGGGGGAAAGAGGCTTCCTGGAGGCGGAGCCCGCGCCGCCCGCCCGCCGCTCACCAGTTCCCGGAGCCCACGATGCACACTTTCAGAGGCGCCACTGCCATGGCCAGGCCGAAATGCAACAGCCCAGACCTTGCCTTCCCGGCCCGCTACCGGCCTCCGCCTGCTCAGCCTAGCTTGCAGCAACCCACCCCGCCCGCCTGCGCCTCCGCCTCCGCCAATAGCCACCGCCTCTCCCGCCCGGGCGCCGGAGGCCACGGCTGACAGCCCCGGAGGACCCGCCCCGCCACTCCCAAGAACCACTGCGCACGCCTGGCCCTGGCTGGCCTGCCAGGTCGGCTCCCGTGCTGCCCCACCCCTGCCCGAGGCGTGTCGGGACATGTAGTCCCGAATGCCCGGCCGAGGCGCGTCCGGGACACAGCTCCAACCCAGTCTAGTTCAGGCTGCGGTCGAGGCTGGGATCCAGGCTGCTGGGTTTCGGGACCGAGCAGGCAAAATCCAGCCCGCGGTGGTGCCCCCTATTGTCCCTTTTCCCTATCCGGGAAGCGCTGCCACTGCAGTTTCGAGCGCAGAGAAGCTATGAGGTTGACGCTAAAGTCAGCCAGGCTTGGAGCCCACCCCTGCCTTTAGGGTCTGGTTCACAGCTACAGACAAGACGCACCTGGCACCCCTGAACTTCTTGGTGAACTTCGATTCTGAGGCCCTGGGGTTTCGGCTGGACTGTACCCCTCTTCCACATGGGAACCTTTTCTCCCTGGAGTAAGGATAGAAACCTAGACGTGGGGTGGGGGTGGGAGTGGGGGTCAGGCTTCACCTACCTACAAAGCAGGGCATTTCTCGTCGGTGTCCTTGCCAGGACCTGTCCCTGTCTGTGACTGGCATGTGTTTGGACCAGACACCCTTAACTCTTTGCTGACAAAAGAACATAGTCATTCTGTGTGTCAGTCTCCACAGGCACTGTGTTGAACACCGTAAGGACAAAGTAGTTTCAATCAGTGATTTGATTCCCTGGAGTCTTAACAATCCCCACGCCTGGACACCACCCCAGACTAATTACATCGGAATGGGATGCAAGCATCAGAATCAAAAGATGATTACAAAAAGCAACCAGATTGAGAATCTGAGAATAAAAGTGTCAGTGGACACTGACTAAGGAAACATGTACTCTAGCCCCTAGAATACCAGGCCTATTAATTTGACGCCTAGAGGGTTCTCTGTTATTTTTATTTCATCTCTGCATTGCGTGATAGAATTATCTAGGCTGATTGTGATATTTACTTAAGGAAATGCTTATTAAAGCTGCAGATGAGGTGGAATGCTTTCTCCATTCCCACCGATGGTTTGCTCTCAATTATTTGTCCCCATGCAGACACGTAGGGATTATGGGAAAGATGGGCTAGTCAAGCTTTGTAAATTCTCTTGCATGTGTGTTACAAAATGTTTGTAAAATTAAATAATGAAGTCACGCACTTAGGTATTAGGCTTTATATGTCATCTGAATAATTCTTATTCCCAAATGTTATAACTACACTTTCATGATAATGAACCAGCTGGCTATTCTGTGATCACATCCTGCCCAACTTAGACTCCCAGTGTTTATCAAACACATGAGAGATACAATGGAGTGTGCCAAAGTGGGTTTAGTCGTCATTTGTTTTATAGACTAGTCACAAAGACGAAGACAAAAATAGGTGAAACTCATGATCAAAATAAAGCAAGTTATAGAAGAATGCTTACAGTATGACCCCATTTTTCTCTAGAAATAGGTAAAACTGCTAGGCATGGTGGCGCAAATCTTTAATCCTTATAATTGGGAGGCTGAGGAAGGAGGACTGCTGTGAGTTCAAGACTCAGTGAGACCCTGTGTAAAAAAAAAAAAACCACAAAATTAAATACATCACTGAGGAAACATATATGGTGAAACCATAGAGGAAGATAAAGAAATGATAATCACAAAATATAGAGTGTGGTTATAGTGGAAGGAAGGGTTAATTATTCTTTATACATTTTGTATCATTATAAACATGCATGTAGTTAGTGAGAATCATGAAAGAGAGGGCAGGCTATCATCTGGATGAATGAAGAAAGCCAAATGAACCACAAGAGGTGAGAATGAGTTTCCAGTTTTGAGAAAGTCTTCTGCCAGCCCCAGTCCAGTGTTGATGATGTTGGCCTTCTGTGTGCTACTTTCCCAAAAAGGTTGAGAATCCTGGAAGACAAACAATTGGCTAGTGTCATTGAGACCATACCAATTCTTTAGGGACCTGGAGAAACCAAAGGGTTTATATAATCCTATGCATGCAGCTATGCCTGGTGCATGTATCATGGTAAAAATAGTCACTTCCATCCAGGTGGTACTTTGAAAATAGCTCAGAGGTATCCTTAGCAAACTCAGAGTTCATGAAGTACAATTTTTATTTTCAGCTTCACAAAGGGCAATAAGAACAACACTGTTTCCAAACTGTGAGTGTAAATCCTAATATGTCAGTCTCATTGGATTAAAGAATGCCTAGCAGATTAATAAAGCATGCTCCTGGGTGGGTCATGGAAACACGACTGAATACTATATATGGTCTCTTTCCCATTCCTCTTTGGTACTGGTCCCCTGATTTGCTTTCTGGCCACCATGAACTAAGCAGCTGTATTCCATCTCACCCTTCCACCATGATGTTCTCCTGACTATAGACTGGTTCCCCTCAGCATTTAAACTGTGTGTGTAAGGTGTTGTGTCCAGCAACAGGGAAGATGACTAATGCAAAAAATTGGTAACAGAGAAGTGAGATCATTGTTGTGACTATGTGCCTGACCATGTGGTTTAGAAGCCTTTGGAATTTTTAGGAGAGAAATTTGAAAAGGTTTGGAGATACATCCTACAAAAGACCTAGAGTGTTGTAAACAGAGCTTGATGGGTGATTCTGAGCTCAGAACACCAACCCAGAAAACCAGAATGCTGATATGAATGCAGATAGTAATGACCAGGCTCAGGAGATTTCAGTTGGAAAGAACTCAATTGGCAGTTGGTCTGCAGGACATGTGTGTTACACTCTGGTAGAAAATTTGTCTCTATTTTGCCCACATCCTTTGCAGGAAACTAACATTAATTAATCTGACATAAAATTTCAAGGCAGTCCAGCAGAAGTGAGAGGAAAATCAGGGAAAGGGGACATTAAAAAAAGTTATGATGAGTTATAATAATTAGTACATATATGTACTAATAAAATTTTTTAAAAGACAACCCAACATTTAGCCTGTGGCATAGTTATTTCTGGCTGCTTTTAGTCAGATTTATGGAAAGACTTTCAGGCAAAAAGCAGAACAGAAATTTTTGAAAAATTTAGATTTTGGCCTGAAAGAACTATATGTAAAATTGGGGCCAAATGAAGTATCACTTCTAAAGAGATTAGTACCATTAAAAAGAAACCAAGAACCTGGTACAGGGACAAGAAGAAATAAACTTTGTCAGCATCTCAGGAATCAGCCAGACCCCAGCCATGACAGTTCAAGGGTTCAAAACTGTCAGGCATAGACCGGAGATTTAGCTCAGTGACGTAAGCACCTGCCTGGCAAGTGTGAGGTTATGAGTTCAAACTCTGGTACCAAAAGAAAAACAAAATGTCAGACTTTCATCTGACAAGAGAGTTCCTGGGAACTCTGCTCAAGATCTCCCTAGGGAATTGGTTCCCTGGGATTATCCCACCATACCCAGCCATGCAGACATTTCTGCACCGTATTTCAAGGAGGCCTGGCTTCTGCTTCCTCTGACAGCAGAGCTTGGTATTGTGTACATGATGCTGGTTTTACTGGCATGAAGAATGCAACTGTTGTGGGATTAGGGATGTTTCTGCACAGATCTCAAAGGAATGCCTGGAACACCAGGCAAGGAGCTCGCAAGAGGCTCCTGTGAAGCTGCGGGAAGGAAGCTAAAAGTAAGGTAGACACCCCAGGGTGTCAGAGATGCCAGGAATGTGGAAAGTTGGCTGCTGTGGCGAGCTGTACGCCAAGAGGGGAACCAGCATTAGAAAGAGGCCTTGTAGACTGCAACTGGCAAGGTCATGGGTGGGGTGCCCACACCCTGTGGAACTTACATTTTACCGCCATGTGTCCTAGATGCTGGACCTGGAGCTACAGGACTTAATGTTTGCCCTCCTGGTTTTTGGTCTTGCTTTAGTCCAGTTATTTTCTACTGCCTTATCCTCGTTTATGGAATAGGAGTGTTTACCACATGTCATTGTATCTCACAATTATGTAGCTTTTTTTTTTTCCAGAGGTTCATTGCCAAGAGTTCATGTTGGTCTCAAAAGAGACTCAGACTTTTACAAGATGATGGAAGTATTGAGACTTTTGAAGGACTGATTGCCTTTATGGTTGTACATAGGATAGTTGCATTTTAGGTAGGATTATGAACTTGTTATTTTTATTGGAGATTAAGTATGATTTTAAGGAGATATATTTGGGTATGAAGTTAACAAGGGACAGGTTGTTACTGTTAATTCTATTAGGTGAATGGATTAAGGAACTCCTAGCAGGTGTGTAAAGCACTACTCTGGGTGTGTCAGGGTGGCTCATGGAGGAGTGACTTTGAGTACTTTATATGTCCCCCCTTCTTTATTTTCAGCACTGCTCCCCTATCCTGCTCCCCAGCTGCCATGAGCTAACCATCTTTGCTCCATTACACCCTTCTGCCCCCCTGCCTCGGAGAGAGGTGACTGCAAACTGCATCCTACCGAATTGGAATCTAAATTAAACCTTCTTCCTTTAAACTATAGGTGTCAGGTATGGTGTTCAGCAACAGGAAATCTGACTCATACACCAACTCTCCTGTGTCCCAGGAGTCCCTTTTCCTCTAACTCCAGGTGACATTTTCGTTCTATATTTTAAACACTTACCCTACCCTACCATCCCTAACACTCTTCTAGTGGCCTTTAACCTCTGTCTGTTCCCTACTTTCAAAGCCAGCACTGTGCATCAGTTGCATCAGAGCTCCACTCCCATGGGTTAAAATCCATTCTGGTTATTGCTTGCTGTGTAACTAAGCACCCCCAATTTAGATGTTAAGACAACTGCAATTATTTCCAGGATCTGCAGTTTAAATTGGGCTCAGAGAGGCTCCCTCCACATGCGGTGAACTGTCAAATGAGCCAGCAGGATCCCCTTTCCAAGGTGGCTTCTTCCCATGGCTGGCAAGATGGTGCTGGCTTCCAGCTGGGAGCTTGCCTGTGG